TTCTTTTTTATCAATTTCAATGATATTTATTGTTCGTATTAAATGATTTATTTCAAATTTTAAATATGAACATATTGCATGAAAAAATAATGTATTTTAATTTGATTCATATTTTAAGTAACATACTTTCACAACATTTTATATCGTATCGTATGTAATCCAATGTCTTATGTTTAATTTAGGTCTATCAATTTCAAAATAATAAAAAATAAAATTATATATATTTATTAAAAAATAATACAATTTTATATTTAAAAAAAACAATTTTGAATATTGTATTTACAATTTAATATTTAAAAATTGCGAAAATTGTTTAGCATTTAATAGGGTTTTTTTACTAAAATTTAATCAAGTATAATAAATAATTTTTTTTTTAATAAAATAAAGTGATAATTTGAAGGAAAAAAAAAGGAAAAGCAAAGCAATCCAAAGAAAGGAAAAGGATGTTCACTCTAACTATTAGACTTTGGGCAAAGGCAAATAGAAAAAACAAAAGAGCATAGTTCACTTTTGGTCCCTGATGTTTGTTAATTTTAATGGTTTTTGTCCCTTGGTTTTATTTTAACAGATTTGTTCTTCACATTTGATATATTGTAACGGGTTACATTCCTCATCCTAACGGTCGTTAATTTTTCTTGTTAAGTCCAGTTTATTACTTTACTCTGTCATGACATATCTTAATCTTCATCAACAACGTAAACTGCATTATCGTCTTCTTCGTTTTTCCCTAAACCCTAGCCGTTGCTTTATCTCTCGCTTTCGATTTGCTCTAGCCGACGTTCTCTCACTCTCGATATGCTCCTAGACTCTCTCTCTCTCTCTCTCTCTCTCAATTTGTTCACCCAACTCTGACCAGATCTTTCAGTGCCAGTCCACCCACCGTGCACGACAACACTCAGTCGAGTTCTAATCCACTTTGACGACCACCAAGATCACAAATCTTTTTCCTAGTCGGTTCACATCGGTAAGTAGATAAAAGAATGGTTGAGTTGAAAGGGATATGACTGTAATATGTTTCTACTTTTATTTTAGTCATGTTTTAAACATGTTCTGCTTTTAGTTTTGTATACGAATGAGATTGTTCTAGAGCTTTAACTTTATAAATGACATACAGTTTTTTGATTTTTTTTTGTTTTGTATCAAGTTTCTTTTTAGTGAAACTGTTCATTAATCTGGTTAAACGTTCTTGATGTGTATTGTCTGGTTTGAAAAACATATTATTATTTATTAGAGTTTTGATTTTAGGTTCAGGGTTTTCATGATGTTTTTAGGATTTTATATGCTTTTCATTTGCGTTGATGATCTTTATCAGTTCATGTTCTTTAATTATTTTTTTATATGGATTGATACGTAACAGGTTCCTGAAGTTTGATAAGTTTCGTAAAAACAAGAACAAATAAAGAAAACTGGTCAATTTACTAAATACCCATCATTAAATTTGACCGAACGAAAAAAGGTTAACAGTTAGGGTGAGGGATAAAAATCAATGCAAGGTGTCAAACGTGAGAAACAAATACGTTAAGATACAATTGAGGGATGAAAATCGTTGAAATTAACAAACTTACGGACTAAAAGTGAACTTTACTCAAAATAAAACCCACTTTAATATTATTTATATTTAAAAATACCAAAGTTTTCCATTCTTTAAGAAAATGAACCAATTAGCTAATGGCACGTGGGAGTTCGAAATCCAACTTTAATTTCTCATTTTCAAATCCGATTCTTTGCTTTTTATTGAAATTTACGAATTAATGGTTGAATTTCGGAGAAAACAAATATTACAGTGATGAAGGTAAGAAGAGAACTCTATTATCAGATTAATTTTGTTGAAAGATCAACATTAATGAGATATACCAGATCAAAAATTTCAACTGTTATTCATGGGGTGTGGTGAGATTAAAATTGATCAAAGGTCCAGATTATTTTTACTTTTTTTAACTCATATTCTCACATGATATTTCATATATGAACTAATTGGTCAGATGTTGAGTCGATGATTATATAAAATCATTTATCTCGCATTTAGTTTATTGGATTTGATTATATTCGGATGGTTGAATTTCATTCATTCTTGTAGTTAAAAACGTACGTGTTTCTCTATAAATATCACTGTATAAAAATAGTTTAAAATATAAAGCAATCAAAATTGGGCATGACAACGGGACGGGGATGGGGCGGGTTTTGTAACCCCCGGGCCCGGTTACCAACGGTTACGGGGATTAACATCTCGTCCCCGATCAAACCCCTGTCAAACCCCATGAAGAATATCCGTTCGTTTGAGTCTACCGGAGATCCCCGACCCTAATCCCGGTTTGAGTAACAACCCTCGTGCCCGGCCCCGGCCTCGGTTTGAGTCTACCGGGGATCCCCGGGACCCGTTTTAGGGGGGAATCCTTGTCCCCGTTTCGCTCTGTGAGTCGGGTTTCCTACCGGGTCGAGACAAATCACCACCCTTAATCGAAACGGAGGGATACGTTACATGATTCGATGACATATACGAGATTAGTACAACACCTTGTGGCATGTCGAATATCAAGATACGAAATCAAAACATGAAAATAAAACATATATTTTTACCGACAATAAAAAACTAAACTACAAATATGTAAAATTCCAGTCTTTAAAAATACCTGGTAACTGTTTTTTTCTTAATTATAGATGTTGATAACTCGATATGTATAGTTCTTAGAATCGTAAAAAGAAAAAACACCATTACCAACTGATGAGAATACGTATTGTCCATAAGAAGATTCGTGAAGCTACCACGAGATCACTCGGACATATGAAATAAGTGGGCCACGTTAACTGTTATAAATAAATTATTTTACTGATCCAAATGAACATAACAATGAATGAAAACATAAGAGTTTAATCAGATAAATATCAAATATCACAAATACTGAAAAATATTGTTTGAAAAATTATCTACAAAATATTGATCGTAACTGAAACAAGATGAGTTAACTTTTCTAAATAACTTACAGATCATGAATTCAAATAGCAGAGGATAGTTTTATCAGAAAGTTTAAAATACTGAAATTCAAGCAAATATTATTTATGACTGGTTTGGTTAGACAAAATATTTTTGAGGAATTCAGATTTCTTGTAAAGATTTGAAGTATTTGAGGTGTTTAGTTAAAACAGATCTTATAAAACCCAATGAAATACCAATTATCCCATAGAATTTTAAAATATAATGGCTGTGGGGTTTTAATCTGGACAGATTGCGTGAAAAAATAACGTATTTTAGCTTTATTCTTATTTTGGGTAACGTATTTTAAACTTTCATTTTGATATATAAGATGTAAAATTTTAAAAATTTAAATACATGGGTAACCGGTTGAAAACTAATTTTAAATAAAAAAATATTAATTTTAGATTAAAAAAAATTATGTCACTAATCATGTCAACAAACAATACTGAGTTGGATACCACATTACTGGCCACATTAACATGATAACCGGTTAATACTTCAACCAGTTACTTAGATACTTAAATTTTTAAAACTTTATTTCTTAAGTACCAAAATTGAAGTTTTAAAAGTACGTTACACAAAAATAGGAGTCAAGTTAAAGTACGTTGTTTTTTATACAATATGCCCTTTCAATTTTAAATTTCTTATAAATTAAACGTGGGATTAAAAAAATGAAATTTAATTTCAAATCCATCGAAATCTTGCAAACTAGAGCTGCACATGAGTTGAGTTGGGTTAAAAACATTTGAACAATCCAAACAAATATTTTCGGTATGAAAAATCTCAACTCAACCGAAACAAAAATAGAACCCAACAATTTGGGGTTATCAGGGTTGAATATTGATATATCATTTTTACAACACAGCTAAGTGATTATGAAGATTTTCTAGCTCGATTAAGACACTGTTTGGCAAACATAAACTAACTTATTTTTTGAGTACATGTTTTGGGAGTTTATTGTCGGTTTTTCAATTATAACCATCATTAATATTAATATTACTCATTATTATTAATTATAAATAAATATTAATAAAAATCATTATTATTAATTTTGATAAAAATTAATTAAATGTAGCTAGACATTATACTTGATATAGAATTATTAACAGTTACAATAATTATTAATTTGTATTGATTATTTTTATATTATTATTTTTAGTCATTATTCATTACATTTGTAATAGTTATTTAAAATCAGAAATTAATAGATATTTTTAAAATTTATTTTTAACAAATCCAAAATTTATAATATATCTAATAACAATTTTGAAATTTCTTTAATTAACATATTATATTTTTTAATTTTTATTTAATATACAGTTTGTATTAATTAACATATTATATTATTAGAAATTTGTTTTAACTATATTATAAAATATTATAATTAACTGATTTTTCAAGATGTTCTTTTTGATAATTTTACATGCTTATCAATTAGTTTTTATCAAACATGTTTTGTTCATCAGCTAGCTTATTAGTTATCAGCTAGTTTGCCGAACATAACCTAGATATTGTGTTGCTTTATGTTGGGTTATTTCAGATTGATCGGGTCAATGGGTGTTTGAGATTGTTTATAAAACAACTTATTGACTTATTATAATGTGATATCAATAATAAACATTTTTAAGTGTTCGGATAAATAGCTTATACCGGTAATAAGAAGTTTTTGAAGAAGTTAAACCATTATAACTTATAATAAGTTGATAAAAAACTTTTGTAAAAAACATAAGTTATTTCAGATAAGCAATCCCAAACCATATATTGTAATCCAAATTGTTCTTTAATAAATTATAAAAAATAATAAAAATAAAAATATCAGAAATGAGATAAGAATATGGGCTAGATTGGGCAGTGGGCTTTTAAATGGAGTAATGGACTATGTTCTTGATCTTGATTGGGGTGTTAATGGCGAATTGGGGGATTATTCTTCAAATTCAGCGAAAATGGGAGGAAAATTTTGAAATGGCGATTTCCCACCACAAGATTTAGCCGCCAAATCGCGTGGATCTCAAAAAACTTTGAATCGAAAAGCAAATCTGCTCAATTGTCAGGAGTCATAAATAGTGTCACCAGAAACGCCATTCCCCAATTTTAAATTCTTCTTCCTCGAGCTTTCATCTCTTCTCCAGTCTTCAATTTTGTCAGGTAAACAACAATTGTTGATGTGTATTAAAACAAATAATCATCTTCTGAACAAATATTCATGAGGATTTTATCTGGTTTAATTTCAGTTTTTCCATAATTCGATGTTATTATCTTCATAATTTCAGGTTTTTAGGTTCAAATCATGATTTAATTTGTGTTTCATGTTAAGCAGATGTATCGTGCACCCAGATCTTCGTTTTAGGGTTCTATCTAGATTGTTTTACACTTTAGCTTACTAGAATGACTTACTCCCCCCTCTTCAAAGTCCACCAATCAGATCTGTGTCGAAATTCAGATCCTATGATTACTGCATCAAGTGATTATAACTACAACGAAAACGTTGATTTGTATGTTGAATATTAAGATTCATAAACATTTTTCTTCTTCTAAAGTGTGTGTGTGTGTAGGTGTGAAAATGGCGGGAAAGGGTGGGAAAGGTCTATTGGCCGGAAAAACACCTGCAACTGCAGCTGCAGCTAACAAGGACAAAGATAAGAAGAGGCCGACTTCAAGGTCTTCTAGAGCTGGTCTTCAGGTTTGGACATAAACCAACAACTTTTCCTGTTTAATGTGTGTGACATTAGGTTAAAAATTTCCTATTTCATAACCATTTTTGTCTAAAACATGTTATCTATAACATGTGATAATGTGGATGTTAAGTTTATCTCTGTATACATTTTGTAAATGGATATCTATGTAATCATGTCTTACAAAATTAGTAAGTTATCGGTTAAAATGGGTACAAAATAGGAAATCTTGTTACATTGAATATGAACTAAATCAAACTTTGATTCATTTTGGTCTTTTATTAGAGTTTAGGGTTTAGGCCCTTGAAGAGTTGATAATCTATGTGAGATTTGTGAGTTTTATACATTAGGCCAATCCTTTGGTGTTTAATGCGAACTATGTTCTTTTGAGCTTGTGTTTGCTTATTTTTTTTGATTAAATTGGATATCCAAACTGTTATGCAAGCCGACTAATCTTAGGGCGACCACCTGTTTTGTAGATAGCCTGGAGTTACTGCATTTGAACCTTCGTGACCACAAGGGGATTTTTATTCCTCCTTGGATTTGAACCTCGAACCTTTTGGTATTTATGACTTTTGGAACCAAGCTCAAACCAATCAGGCACTACACTTGTGGTTGTTTGCTATTTTTGATTTTAATGAATTTGGGTTCTTGAAATACAAGTTGGTTGGAAATTTGAAAGGACCAAATTTCTTTGGTGTTTGAATCATTGGTCTATACCTCCAGTATCCTCTAATACTTTATTAGTTGGGGTCTTTAAGGAATTGAAGCATTCCAGTTGCTTCAATTAGAACCCGTAATTGAACTAAATTTTCATGAACTACAAGCTTATTATCGAACACTAATTGGGTAAGATTCTAGGCCATTAAAATGACATATAATAAAATTGTAAGCATCTCTTACTTGCTCATTAGGTAAGAGTCACCACCTTCTCATATTGTGTTGGTCTTTGCCATGTCCACTTGGTAAGGTAAGTGACTGGATAAGCATGTACTTAGGGCATGTTTGGTACTGGCTTAAGGAGCTTAATAGAGGCTTCGGTTTATTCACTCAGCCATATAAGGGTGTTTGGTAGTGGCTTAATCAAATGGAAGATGACTTATTTGCTCAGCTTTAGGGAAGAACATTTATGGAGATAGAGATGTTATTTCGATCAATACCCCTCCCAGGAAAATGCTTGCTCAGCCAAGAAATACTCTCTTGTTCCTAAAACCCTAGCCATTTCCACGAAAGCCTCATGTTTCCTCTTGCATTAGAGCTGCTTGACTGTCGATTTGAAGCTGCTCGGCGGTAATTTGAAGCTTGCTACCGAAATCTCTGCATTCCTTTTCCTCCGTTGTGAGGTATCCTTTTTGTATAGTCCTCCCTGGTCCACCCTGTCGTCGCCTTGCCCCCTCCTCCCTGCTGCCGCTCTGCCTCCCCCCCTCTCCGTCGACAGACCCATGTTTTCTTCCTTGCTGTCGTGGCTCTGGGTTTGGGAGGTAAACCGAAAGGGATGGGTTTTGTGATTATTCATTTTTCGACTTGTTTGAGAGTAAATTGATGATGGATCGAGTGATTTTTTAGGGTTCTACAGTTGTCGGATTTAGAATTGAATGTTTTTGAAATTGGCTGCAGAGAGGATGATGCAGAGTAAACTGAAAGGGACTTTGGGTTTAGATTTGAGTCTCTTAAATCTTATCCCTCAATCCTTTTCTGTTGGTTCTTCACTTCGTAGTTGTTGTAATATTTTGAAAGAGATGGGTTTTTGTGATTGTTCATTTTTGGGATTGGTTTTCTAGAAAATCCAAAGGGATGCATGGTCATTTTTATCATTCAGACAGATTATTCAGTTTAGCAAACAAACAACAATTTTATTAATCTATACAAACAACTTTATCAATATTGCTAACTTTATATATACAAGACTTGATAGAAAACCAAAGGCTTTTTTTACGTTTTAGTCCTCACAGGTTTATGTGAACTAAAATTAATGTTACTTCATAGGTCTTGGATGAATCGATTGTGTTTCATTTGAGTGGCTTGCTTAATCTCCCTTTTGGCAATTAATTATTGAATGACCAATGAACCTACGTTTGTAAAAGAATGTTGGTGATTAAGTATTTTGTGATCCTTAAGCCCATGAGCTTGTTTAATGCTTTTATTTTTGTTAGCTTTAAGTTCTCTTGTAGTTCGCTTCTTGTGAATTGTGATTAGTATGGGACTGCTTATTTGTTTTTTTTTAATTATGAAAATGAACCAAAGTTCAATTGACTAAGCAAGATCAGTACAACCATAGCAGTAACTAATGGTTGCAAAAGCGTAACTAAAATTAACATAACTTGTAAGAAACTGGCAATTACAATATTAAAACGAAGACTTCATACAGAGAGATTGATTTAATGCTAAAAACAAAGCTACATTAAAGAGTCCACTTATGGGTATGCCTACGGGTACACATCGTATGAGTGAGGTTTTGGGTTCAAACCCAACACCAGTCCTTTGCCAATAGGATTTATGTGTTGATATGCTTGTCCCATATGACTCTAGGACCGGTACAGTGAGGACGCCTTAGAGGGTGGTGTCTACCCCTTTTTATAAGGGTACACGTCAAAGAGGAAGAGTCTTGAATCTTGATGGCACACAAACAAAATGACATGATTATTGGGTTTTATTGTTGTTTGTACTTCAAACTCCACTTAATGAATTCAAACTTAGGGGCCATTTATTAAATACTTACCTTGGTAAACGCTTACTGGTTTAACTATCTTACCGCGTGAACATAACAAGAACCAAAAATCTTATCCAGTAAGAGGGAAGACAATGATTGAGAGTCTTACCAGGTAAAGGAGGGTGACGACTCTTACTCGGTAAGCGCCTATCGGTTATTAACACTTAATTGATGGCAAAGAATGTTAGCCCATAAGGTAAGCGAGACTGGTGAGTCTTGGTGGTAGACACTTAACCAATAAGTGGTTGGTAAACGACACCTTATTATATACATTTGACTTGTTCAAATAAAGCTACAATTACCTAGTGTTAAGAAAAGAGGGTTTACATCACCGGTGACAGATGTAGAAAACCAAAACATTGTACTTGTTGATTGCATTATGCTTCTAGAATTACAGCCGGATGAATGAATTCTCTTTGTTATTGGAATTCAGTTTCCTGTAGGGAGGATCCATCGTCATCTAAAAACAAGAACTTCTGCAAACGGTCGAGTTGGAGCAACGGCTGCTGTTTACTCTGCTGCGATTCTTGAATACTTAACAGCGGAAGTGCTCGAGTTGGCTGGAAACGCTAGCAAAGATTTGAAGGTGAAAAGAATAACTCCAAGGCATTTGCAACTAGCGATTCGTGGTGACGAGGAGCTCGACACATTGATCAAAGGTACGATTGCGGGAGGTGGTGTTATTCCTCATATTCACAAGTCTCTTATCAACAAAACCACAAAGGAATGAGTCTTTTTTCCTTTTTAATAAGGTTCATTTTATTTGTTGGTCTTTTAGAGAATGTGTTTTCATGATGATTTACTGGTTTTATATTTGGAATGTAACTTGTGATTTGATTCCTTTTTAAGTAAAATAGGTTTGTAGGATTGATGTAAATGTGGCTTAGAATTTGGTAACTTTTGGTTACCTTTTTAATTCATGATTGTTGGGTTGTTTTTTGTTTTGGATTTTATATCTTGCTCTATCATCAATCATTTTGGAAGTTCAAGAGTTGTTTTAGGGTGTGTTTTGATATACATGAACAGAGTGGAACAAGCGTCACACACCTTTTTTTTACATTTTATTCATTTTTTAAATTTTAATTTTTTCTGTCTTATTATTTTTAAAATTTTATTTTATCGTCTTTGAAATATTATTTTTATATTTTGGTTAACTTGTTTAATTTATTAAATCTTAATAATAAGATAGAAAAGGTATAAAAAATTGAAATCTATGTGAATTTTTTTGTTTTTGTTTTATTTTAATTGTGTTGATGAAAACTATCTAATGATGTATTTTATTATAAAAAATATTAGTTTTACTATAATTTATTAAATAATCAAAATATATAAAGAATATAAACAATTTAATTGATCATTTTATTTATTTTGTTATGTCTAGTTTTGTTTAACAAACATAGAACAACTTTTTTTTTTCTTGTTCTGTCATGTCTAATAATGTCTTTATTCAAATGCATTTTTATAAATACAGATTGGGTAAATGATAACGGTATAAGAGTGTAAGTGGAGTCAACGCTAATCATTGACCTAGTAAGAGTCCACACCAACATATCTTTGACTAGGTAAATGCCTCTTATATAATAAATGAGTGTTTGATTGATTTTCTATTAAGTCTGATATGGATAAAATTGTCTGTATGAATTAAATGTCTATATAGATTGAGAAAGTTTTTTTCAAGGAGTTTTTTCATGGACGGAAAGGAGTATGTTTATTAATTGGGAGAGATACATTTAGAAAACAACTTGTCTTTCTATATAAAACTCCTCTAGAAACTTACTAAATAAGCCACTTTTGTATTATTAAGCCACTACCAAACAATCAAGTATAACTTACCAGATAAGTCATGAATTTCATTAAGCTGCTAATAAACAAATTCTAAGATACGTTAAAAGAGGTTGTAAACAACCCTTTGATAAATTTGTTTTATGGGGTTTCTACCATCCCAAAAAACTTGGATCTTTTGTAACTGGGCCTACCTGGTTTTTGGGTTTTGCAATTGGTTTTGTGTGACATCGGGATTCTTGAAATGTGATTTAGTTTTAAAAGACTCTTTACAAAACGCTTACAGGGCAGAGTCACCATCCTAAATTATTAACATGTAACATTTTGGCTATCAAAATAGATTGTCAGCAAATTTCACACGATTAGCACTTATCGGGTAAAATCTTCTCCCTTACTCAGAAGGCAATATTCTCGGTCTTAACTATGTTTCTTACCAGATAAGATCATACTAGATAAGATTCTCGGTCCTAAACATATCTCTTATTTATAGTCACACTTGTAAACACTTATCGAATAAGAGTCAGATAAACGACCCCTTATTTGCTATAGAGTTGAGTTCCTAATACATGATCCATTTATCAAGAAGAGTTTGTTCGGTCATGTGTATTATATGATATGCTACTCTCATAAAGTATTAATTTTTTAGAGTTCTCTTGGAAATTTATGAGGAAGAAATTCCTTCTGAAATTTCAATGGACCGTGGAAAATAAAGAAAACGATGCTTACACAACTGAAGTATTACAAAAAATAGCAGTGATCCTTCAATAGCAACTTCAATAGTTATATATATAGTAAAATAGAGTAATAAAAGTCAAAATCTCCGAAAAGAATTACATCAAATTCTGACGGTTATTTTGATTTATTGATTTTAATATTAATTATATTATTAAAATATTCAATACATTTAATAAAATATTAGCTCTTTCAGCTTTAGCTTTAATATCTTTCATTGGTGGAAAAGATTAGAATATTATTTTTCTCTCTTAAATAATTTTTTAAAAAGATACGGAGAATTTTACCTTATTTCTCTTCTTTTATCTATTTTAGCATATATTATAGCATACTTTTTTTCGTGAGACCATTTTTTTACACTATGAAACTTCACAGCAAAAAGTTGTGAAGGTAAAAAAAAACCGAATCTTCACAGCAAAACACTATGAAGGTTACCTTCACAATGTTCTGCTCTAAAGTTTCAAGTGTAAAAATCGTGTCTCATGAAAACAGTCTTGTCTCACGTAAATCAATCTCTCTCTCTCTACACACACACACACACACACACACACACACATATATATATATATATTCATTTCAATACGACTTCAGTTAGATATTAATACCGATTTATTCAATCTAACTTCTTTTAATTTTAATACAACCGTACACAAGTATCTCCATATGTTGCTTTTGAAGCCGTGTGTTAAATGCGTTACATACTCAATTTCACTTTCATGTTCAACTAGGTTCAAAAAATTCTATCGATAATCTAATATATAATTCGATATGATACTGACACAATGTTTAAGGTGCATGTATACACATTTTTCTATCTTGATCCATTTATCCAACATGGATCCATTAGACATATAGCATTTTAAACATATAGTCGTCAACCAGATATATCTGTGTGCTATAACTCGTATATGTATTTGTTCACTGGACGTTTAGTTTAGCTGCATCTCTCTCTTCTCGACGAGTGTTAAGCAGAAAATCAAAAAGTATAGGCATATAGGTAGGCCATTGATTATATGTCAAAAAGGACATGTTTATTCTTTTACATGATATAATTATTTCATATTAACTTATAATATAATCTTATGAGATAAAAGTAATATTATTTGGTGTAGGTTGTCTTGGCCTTGAATGAACATTTGGATTTGAGAGGTTGCACTAGAAGCAATTGTAACGTATGACTTTGGGCATATTCCACCAAGTACAGACATATCAACTATAATATTTACAAGAACAAATTGCATTAAAAAATAACGTACTTTAACTTGATTTCTATTTTGGATAACATACTTTCAAAACTTTTATTTTGGTACCTAAAATGTCAAGTTTTAAACATTTAAGTACCCGGATAAACGGTTAAAGTATTAACCGGTTACCATGCTGATATGACGAGTGATATGATATCCAACTTAGTATAAATTTTTATTGAATTTTAAATTCAAAAGGTAAGTCAAATCACTCGCCACATTAGGACGATAACCAGTTAATATTTCAACCAATTACCCGGGTACTTAAATGTTTAAAACTTTACATCTTAGGTACCAAAATTGAAGTTTAAAAGTACGTTTCTTAAAATAAGAATCAAGTTAAAGTACGTTATTTTTTCATGTAATATGTCTTTTTTACAAATAAAAGTAAAAAAAAGAATATTTCAAATAGCATAGTTTTAAAAATTTCTATTTATGTAACAAAATTCCATTTCTTTTATCTATTTTGACCGATAACCCGCTAATATTAAACAGACAACTTTATCTATCAAGAACTTAATAGGTTCACCTTACAGCTGAGAAAAAAATATCCAAATCTAACCGATACGACTGTATAAGTGTGACACAAAATGTAAAAAAGGAAAAAAAGATTCCATGGTGGGAGGGATCTAATAAACAAATGATTGTAGTTGCAGAATATAATATGGCATCTTTTAACCATATAAAATATGCAAAGCTGGCCATTAATAACTACTACTTCAATTCTCTCTTTAAGATCTCTCCGGCGTTATGGGAACGGCCATTCCATCAACTCAGGCGACCATACTCCCATTTCCGCCACCATCTCGCCGGAAACCACCGCCAAGATCTCCCAAAGGCAGTCCTCCAGTTTTGGCTGTCCTCACACAGCCAGCTTTCGTTACTATTAAGAACGATGATGATCTCCGCCTTAAGATCGATTCAAAGAACAATACCATAGCCACCACATCGAAGACCGTATACCACGACAATTGGTTCGAACGAATCGCCATTGATTACCTCTCGAAAACCATCCAAGAAACTGTTGGTTTGTTTTCACTTGTTCCACCTTCTAACTTCAGTAATAATTTTTTAAGTATAGACCGCAAAACTCACACTCACTGCTTGAACCTTAGGTGGTTTAGTTTTCCGTTAAGTCTTGTATTGATAAAGCTGTTTGTCTGAACTAATCTATCTGTATAGATTGAGAGTTTTTTCATAGATGGAAAGAACATGTTTTTTAAATGAAAGGGATAGATTTCGAGAAGACTTGGCTTTCTGCATAAAGCTCCCCCTAGAACCTTACTGAATAAGACACTTTCTATATCATTAAGTCACTATAAAACCGTCATTTATAGCTGACCGATAAGCTGCAAGTCTCATCAAGCTCATTAACCTGCTAACAAACAGACCCTTAGATATCCTGGACCAATGACCTTTTGGTTTCAGACTGATGATTTAAAATAACTGCAGGGATGAAGAACGACGAGCCGGGGTACAAGGGGTTCGTGACGGTGTCAGCAGCAGTCTTCCGGGAGTTTAACCTGACTGAACAACGCCAGTTTGTTGATAAGGCTCTCGAGAAAGCTATTCCTAGTCTTATGTTCGTTATGGCAAGTTTTTCTTCTGTTTTAATGCGTTTTTAGCTATTCATTCAGCTCTGCGTACATTTTACCTCTAGACCTTACTTGTGGGTGGACATACTAGGTTTGGTTTGGTTGACTTGAGTTTCTTTATTGGGATAAGCAGATCAGAAAACTGATGCCGCAATCGAAGTTTACGAGGGAACTTTTTGCCGCCTTCACGACCGTCTTCTTTCGTTGGCTCATTGGTTACAGTGTGGTAGGGCTCGTGGTTTACTAACTCAAAGTAACTACCAGAAAAAGATAACGAACTCGACACCTAAAAATTGAATCCTTTTCGGAATGGATGCATTATTATCATCAGTTATTATTTGTTAATCAACTAATCTTGGTATGAAGGTAAAAGAGTCAGAGTTTGAAGGGAGAAAGGAGAGGAATGTTGTCCACATAACTAAATGCAGGTATCTTTCTTACTCTCTCAAGTTATCATGGGTCTATTTGTTAGCAGCTTAATGAGGTTAATGATGTTCAAAGCTTATTTAGTTAGCTATACATGATTGTTTGGTAGTGGCTTACTGATATAGGAAATGACTCATGCAGTAAGATTCTATGGAGGAGCTTTATGCAGAAAGCCAATTTTTTTTCCAAATTTGCCTCTCCCAATTAAAAAACATGTTCCTTCCGTCTATGGAGTAACCCTCCCAAACAAAACCTTCCCAATCAATACAGACAAAATAATCCACAAAGACATATTTATCCAGGGATTAATGAAAAACCGACCAAACAACCCTAAACCACATCTAACAAGTTGTTCTCTTTTACCTGCGGATTCTTAGTCTTTGTGAGAGCATCTCCAACTCATACTCCGAAATGGAGATTTTGAGGATTTTGGGCAAGTTTTTTGCTCCAATAGATTCCTCAAAATGAAGAAAGTAGGAGAGAGTGTGAAATTACCCAAATTTTGAGAACTCCCCAAAAATGATTACCATGAGAGAAAAATAATATTTTATTAGATGTATGAAATATCTTAATAATACAATCAATGTGGTAATATCCAAAATGGAGAGTCTATTGGAGTTGAATGTATTTTTGTTTTGGAGATTTTGAATTTTCATTCTACATTTGGAATTTTCTAGAGAATCTGTTTGAGATGCTCTTAATTGATAAAGATCTAGACATGACCTACATCAATATGAGTCTTATTCTTGAATTCTAGAGAGAAACATGACCTATGAAAAGAGCTTTTAGAGACGCAGGATTAGGGTAGCAAACTCTGGGTAGGGATCTATAGCCTACTTCTTGTTTCTTTTTAATTTTTGTTTTGCAAGTCGGGGTCTCCACAGAATCAATCTCTCTACCCCTACACATAGACACAAAGTCTGCTTATATCATACCCCTAGACCCTACCTCTGCGTGGAACTTACTGGCTTTGTTTGGTTTGATTTTTGTTGAGAACATGAAAAATCTAAGCCAAGTTTCGTAATCATGTAAACCTAGAGTTTTTTCTATCAATATACACTTATCTGCAATGTTATCGACTCATCGTCAAACTCTAATGCTATATGGGTACGTTTTAGGTTTTTGGAGGAGGCTAACTGCATAGGCATGTGCACAAACCTCTGCAAGATGCCGAGCCAAGAGTTCATGAAGAACAATTTCGGTATTCCGGTCAACATGGTTCCTAGTAAGTAAATAGAAGCAAACAAATGCATCACACAACTAAATATCCCTGCGTCCTAAAAATAAATGTCCACATTAAGAAGGACGCAATTTTAGACATTGTGTAATTATTACACTTTTTAGCTAACTAAATGACAATTTTACCCATAATGAAGTTCTCCATCTCTCATAATTAAGGGTAGAAGACTTGGATCATGTGAGACCAACATGTTTTCATGAGACCCTTGAGACCACAAAAGAACATTGAACCTTCATAGTGAACAACTGTGAAGGTACAAAAAAACACTGAACCTTCGCAACAAAAACATTGCGAAGGTCTGTTTTTGTACCTTGACGATGTTTTTGTAGTGAAGGTTCAGTGTGTTTTTGTGCTTTCACAGCTGGTCTCACGGGCCTCACGAGAAAAGTCTAGTCTCACGAAAATAAGTTGGTTTCATGAGAACCCAACCAAGGATAGAATTGGAAAATAAACACTTACTTTTGGAAGTGTACAAAATATGAACAGTTATTTTGGAACGAAAGAAATAGTAAATTGATAACAGGAAAAGTGCACCTAGAGATAACAGGAAAAGTGCACCTAGATCTTCCCTAAATAAGAAATATAGTGCACTCAAATCAATTAGAGAACACAAAGAGAAACAAGAATCATACAACTTTGAAGAGTAACAGTACTTGCACTAATATATAGAGGCCTAAAAACATGTATGCATGGTGGGTCCATGTGTACTCCCACTGGGGTGCACTACTGCAAGTAGAGTTTTAACAAAGTGTTGATTCCAACTTCTATAATGAATTCACTAGTGAATAGCATCTTCTATGTTTCAAATCAGTGTGCCAGATACATTTTTAGCAGACAATAGTTGTTCATGATATGTCTTCAATAGTCTCAGCTATAGAATGAAGTTATCAGATCAACTTTCACTTTGTAGGAATAATGTGAAATAATGATGAATATGCCAGTGTTTTTTGTGAAGACTAAGTGCTGCAACTATTGAAGCAATAAACTTATTCATTATGAATATTCTGATTCACAGATTTTGATGATATGAGCTGTGAGATGATATTCGGTCAGGATCCTCCGGCACAAGAAGATGATCCGGCATTTAAGAAACCATGCTACAAACTATGTAAATGCTCCTAACTTCGTTTGGTTCGTATTTCTTTCACTACAACAAAATCTGCTTTATATGACCAAATCATTGTGTCATATGTAAGTTTTGTTGCAATAAGCAAAATTATTAGGATGTGTCCTGTTAGTTTTTTAGGACATTTAAATGTTTTTGACATCCTATAAAACTGATTTTGTATGAGGTCAAAATAGTCTTTGAGCATGCCCCAGAAGAACAGTCGATATCAAGAGATTCTCGTTCTCATATTTTGTTATATTTTGGATGCAGGTAATGCAAAACAAAGGCACAGTGCAAGCTGCATCAGCTAGACAGTTAAGGAGGCGAGGCAATTGTAGGGATTCAAGAAGGCCATAAAATGGTGTTTGCCACTTTGTTACCAATATACCCCTCTTATACTCATTAATACATAATAAGTATGTCATAGGTCACTTGATCATAAAATAATTCCTAAGGCAGGTCTTCATGTGCTTCTCTAATTGGGAAATATGCCATTAAGTAATGTAGTGAAATCACATGTGAATGATTAGTGGGCAACCATTATTTTTGGTACATATGTAGCAATAAAACAAAGTTACTTTCAAGATGTGTTAACAAATACCATGCAAATAAATATATCTCTTCATGTAAATGATAAAAGTTCTGTACTACCAACAAGCTGATTAACTGTACGCCTTCTTAAACCAAACCAAATGATTAACTTATTACAACACTTTTAGATAGGACGCTTTATTGTTTGGTCCTATAAACTTAAAATCTATAAAGCAATCTATTAGGACACAAAGAAATTATTGGCGTCCTATAAACCCGACTTTGTTGTCGTGTTTGTTTTAAAAATATACCTCAAAATTTCAATCATGAGGGGATGAATGGACTTTCGTCACTAATGAATACTTCCATAAATAATATCCATAATATTATATTTTAAGGGTTCATTACCAACTCGATGATGCTTGCACTATGGCTACACCTACCCTATCAATGCCAAGTCAATAAAGCCCTTGAATGTATTTTGTATGGAATCTTGTAATGTAGGGTTCAGGTTCAGCAAGGGTGGCCGTAAAGTATCTCCCACTTTAGTCCATTGAAGAGAGTGGGGAAACTTGAGCCACTATAAGTACTATTAAGCTGTCAGCAGATCTCCTTCATAGAGCTCCAATTGTTTGTATAATTAATAAAAACATGTAAAAAGTTTTATGTTGACCAAATAAAAGATAGCAGCAGAAATGCAGGACAGTTATAGGGTTGATTGGTAAGCCAAATAAGCAGAGATTATAAATAAATGTCCTAGTGATTAGCTTTCTGAACCATTGTATTTGACACTTTGTGTATGTTGGTGTCCACATCGGCTAGACTTGTACTATTTTTCCTCAATATATGTTGGAAGCTCTACTCTCTCATCAAGGTCTCCTACTCTAGGGAATCTACTCTCAAACAATTTGTGCCCGTTTAAATTCTGTGGAGGGGGCATGTTGGCGTCCCACTTCAACTAGACTTGGACTATTTCTCTTCAATATATGTTGAGACCTCCCTTCTTTCGTAACGGCTGTTTTTTAGAATAATCTAATAGGGTTCCACATACTCTTAGTGTAAAATATATTATATTCTCACGTTGTAAAATTAATTCCGCATATTTACCATTATGGTTTTTTGCCAAGCAGAGTGACAGTAGTGATGATAATCTGAAAGTTGCAGGAGCTTCGGTTACAGTCACTGAGTTTGTAGTTTCAAACTCACTCTAGAAAGTAGTTGTTAGTCCTTTAAAGATTATATGAAGTGGCTACTTGCACAAACCAGTTTCATAGTTACATATTACTCTGGGAGAGAGACATAAATGCCAGGAAATAGTGCCACTGATACGTAATGACAAATAGGGTGGCAAAATTACATTATGGCAACATATATAGGGAGGATCAAATGCAAACCAAGCCAAATCCTTGATTTCATTGTTTAATATGATGAAATTGTTTCATATATTTTGGTTTATTTCTAAAAATGAAATTGTTTCGTGTATTTCTCATTTTGATGAAATTTGTTTTCTAAAGTTAATATAAAGAAGATGATAATGTCCATAATTAACTCCCTCCATAATAAAAATGATTAATCAACCCTCATAATTGAAAAAAGGTGAAAAAAGAAAAAGAAAAATTATAATTGGTTGAATAAGGTTTGTATGGTTTGCACAAATGACTTGGTTTGTATTTGATCTCTCCCCTATATATATATATATATATATATATATATATATATATATAAATTAATAAATGATTATCACGATTATGTCAAATAACCTTTTGGTTGGTCACCAAAACACATTGTAACGAAAGCAAAGATGTCTAAATGTCCCATAGATCGATTTATCGGAGTAAAATTTAATAGGACCAAATAATTGTTACCAGAAGCAATCACTAGTGAGTTAGTACAAAAGTCTATTATGTGATTCCACGTATTGGTATGTAACCATAAGTTTGTTTTTACTTTTTCCATTCTTTCATTTTGGTCACTATAAGTGTGGACTAGTAAATGGTGAACCAAAATTCAAGATAGTGATCTCAACAGCCTACTACAGGAAGGAAATGCATGCAATCAGCTAGAATTGCCCAATGAGAGAAGCATTAGATGTCAATAGCCGTGGATTTGTGGCCAGACTTTGTTGGACATGATACAGAACGAGGTCTTCCAATCAGAGTTAGGAGCTGCACCTAGGAATAAACTTGAGAGAGAGTAAATTGCGGTGTTTTGGGCAAGTTTGAAGCAGATGATGGCAATTGACACCTATGAGGAGGGTGGAGAGTGTAGCAGTAGAGGTGGTGAGGAGAGGCATGCCGAGGAGGACGTGGGATATTGAGCCAGATATGACAACCTTGAACATTTCCAAGGACATGACATCTGATAGGAGTTTCTGGATATACCTGATAAAGGTAGTTGTTTATCTAGTAGCTACTACACAGCGGATTAGAGGGGTTGGGTGTGAGGAAATGGGCTAAAGAGTTGACAAAAAGGTTAGCTGGCGAGCTCTTTGCCCGGTGGTTAGGAAGTAGAGATGCACGAGGCCCCGGATTTTTCAGGCTTAACTGGACCTTTTCAGGCTTTTCCAAGCTGGGCCTGCCCCAAAATTTCAGCTGATTGGGCTTTAAGGCCTGGCTTGGACCGGGCTTCGGGCTCACTAGGCCCAGGATTGGCTTTTTGTGCATCTCTAGTTAGGAGCCTGACTCAACAACATCTTTTCCAAATCATCAAAGGTTTTTTTTTATTAACCTAGATATCCAACCTGCTATGTCAGTCGACTAATCCCAGGGCGACCACCTGTTTTGCAAATAGCCCGAAGTCATCGCATTTTAACCTCCATGGCCACAAGGGGATTTTTATTCCTCCTTGGATTTGAACCTGAGACTTTCTGACATTTTTGACCTTTGGAGCAAAACTCAAACCAATCAGGCACCACCCTTGTGGTTCAAAGGTTTTTGAAATACAAGCTTTCAGCTTCTCTCAGAACTTCGTCACAGGACAACGGCCTTCCCTTCCCATACCAAGTGAGATATACTTTGCATGCTTGATTAGCAATACGAGGCTATTATATGTTGTTATCTCTTCCACAGTCCATTATATTTCTGTAGTTTGAATGAACCGACACAATATAAAAGAAGTTTAGAAAATGAAAACAACCAAACATTCTGCAAAATCAAAATGTGACAGTCGAAAATCAAAAGGAATTTATTTCAAAATCTGAATTTTTGTGAATTAGCTTTCTGAGATGTATTGAATAGCTATATACACTCTATAAAAAACTACTAAACCCCGTAAAACAACTGGGTTTCGAAATGTCAATTTGCAGAACACCAATTCGATCAAACATGTTATAGCTAGTTAGGATGTAAATTATAAGAACAAAGTGATTCTTCTATCGCATTCATCGTTCAAACATCACAGAACTAATCATACGCACACAGCCCAATTATTTACGCCCTAGAAGTTGCGTAACTGTTTAACAAAGTGATTAAGACGCTTGAATCATAGGGCAACAACAAGCATAGTTTCATAAACCACAAATTCTTCAGTGACCTTTGGTATTCTAACATAAAGAAGGAAGATTCGATCAACGGCTATCGATAATAGGCATGGAAACGAAATGATTAATCTATTAATGGCAATAAATCATAACAATAAAACAAGGAATCAGTTGCGATACACTTAACCTTCATTCCTTTCACTTAATTCATACGAAACAGTTCACGCGATCATCGTCTTTTTTCCGTTAAGCCGGCCATCAATTCCGTTCATGATCACCGTGCTCCGACGACACACCGACGAGATCCCTCCAAAATTTCGTGTTTGTTTATTGGAGTAATCTTTTTTAAATTTCACATATAAAGTCTACAAGACTACAACCCAAAGTCTCCATTGATTTCTAAGCCCATTGGGCTTCACTTATTCCTATTTTGGTTAATGCATTTTAAAAAATTTAATTTTGATATCTAAAATGTAAATTTTTAAACATTTAAGTACTCAGATAACCGGTTGAAACTTAACTTGTTACCATGTTGATGTGGCGAGTGATGTGGTATCTGGTTAATGCTTCAACAAATAATATTGAATTGGATATCACATCACTCGACACATCAGCATGGTAACTGGTTAATGCTTCAACCAGTTACCCGGATACTTAATTGTTAGAAACTTTACATCTTAGGTACCAAAATGAATGTTGTAAACAAATCACGTTCATTATTCAATGATGAACGTGGACCCTTGTCGCGCTCTCGTTCATTTCCCAATTCACAACGTTAATTAGTTTTGCAACTGAACTTTCCCCTTCCCCTCTCTCTCTCTCTCTCTCTCTCTATATATATATATATATAGAGAGAGAGAGAGAGAGATGTTCAAACGATAACATATATATTATATGGAAACGCAAGAACATCCTTGTCACATCACATATGATAACACACGTGAGGGGATATGGTGGTGTGCAGATGATTTAGCATGCGACCTAGGTCGCGCCAAAGGCTATTTGCGTATCTGATTGAGTACCACATATGATGGATTATAGTATCACATTGGGAAAAACCTTTACCGCATGCGATAATATACGTAAGGAGCCTAGTGGTGTGCGGACGACTTAACCCACAACGTAGGTCGCGCCAAAAATCACTCATGCCCCTAATTTAGTACCACATATAGATTATATGATCGATGTGATTGACTATACTAAATAATATCATCCCATTTTCGCTGAATAAAATTTTTCTCCTTTGAACTCTTCCCTCCACACACACATGAGGTGAGAAGCATACGAAAAGATTTGGACTCT